CTGGGGGGCTGAGGGACACGCAGGGGTCACTCTGGTCACTCTGGGGGGCTGAGGGACACGCAGGGGGTCATTCTGGTCACTTTGGTCACTCTGGGGGGCTGAGGGACACTCAGGGGTCACTCTGGTCACTCTGGGGGGCTGAGGGACACGCAGGGGTCACTCTGGTCACTCTGGGGGGCTGAGGGACACGCAGGGGGTCATTCTGGTCACTTTGGTCACTCTGGGGGGCTGAGGGACACTCAGGGGGGTCACTCTGGTCACTCTGGGGGGCTGAGGGACCCTCAGGGGGTCACTCTGGTCACTCTGGGGGGCTGAGGGACCCTCAGGGGGTCACTCTGGTCACTCTGGGGGGCTGAGGGACCCTCAGGGGGTCACTCTGGTCACTCTGGGGGGCTGAGGGACCCTCAGGGGGTCACTCTGGTCACTCTGGGGGGCTGAGGGACCCTCAGGGGGTCACTCTGGTCACTCTGGGGGGCTGAGGGACCCTCAGGGGGTCACTCTGGTCACTCTGGGGGGCTGAGGGACCCTCAGGGGGTCACTCTGGTCACTCTGGGGGGCTGAGGGACCCTCAGGGGGTCACTCTGGTCACTCTGGGGGGCTGAGGGACCCTCAGGGGGTCACTCTGGTCATTTGGGGGGTGTCAGGTGGTCAGGGGTGTCACCCCGCGGTGTGACAGTCCCTTTGGGGGGTGTCAGCCCCTCGGGGGTGTCACCTCAGTCATTTTGGGGACATCACCCCACGGTGTGACGGTCACTTTGGGGGTGTCAGCCCCTCAGGGGGGGTCACCCCATGGTGTGACGGTCACTTTGGGGGTGTCAGCCCCTCGGGGGTGTCACCTCGGTCATTTTGGGGACATCACCCCAGGGTGTGACGGTCACTTTGGGGGGTGTCAGGTGGTCAGGGGGTGTCACCTCGGTCCCTTTGGGGGTTGCCAGCCCCTCGGGGGTGTCACCCCGCGGTGACAACACCCCGACACCCGCAGCGCCTGTTGCTGGTGCCGGCGAGCGCGGCTCAGAGCCGGATCCCCTTCGCCCGCGTCAGCCACAGCAAGTACATGGTGACCGACACGGCGGCCTACGTGGGTGAGCCTGGGGAGGGGGCTCGGGCTGCAGCCCCCTCCCCAAAAACCTCCCCAAAAACCTCCTGAGGGGGTCTCTCGGCGCTGGGGGTGACCCAGCACCGTGGGGAGGGGGATTTGGGGTGCAGCCCCCTCCCCAAAAACCTCCTGAGGGGGTCTCTCGGCATTGGTGGTGACCCGGGGGGGGGGTTTGGGGTGCAGCCCCCTCCCCAAAAATTCTCCTGAGGGGGTCTCTCGGCGCTGGTGGTGACCCAGCACCGTGGGGAGGGGGTTTGGGGTGCAGCCCCCTCCCCAAAAATCTCCCCCCAGGGATTTCTCAGCATTGGGGGTGACCCAGGGCTGTGGGGAGGGAGGTTTGGGGAGGGCGTTTTGGGGATTTGGGGAGGGGGTTTGGGGTGCAGCCCCCTCCCCAAAAATCCCCCCAAAATCTCCCCCAGGGACCTCTCAGCGCTGGTGGTGACTCTGCACCGTGGGGAGGGGGATTTGGGGTGGGGGATTTGGGGTGCAGCCCCCTCCCCAAAAATCCCCCCAAAATCTCCCCCAGGGACCTCTCAGCGCTGGTGGTGACTCTGCACCGTGGGGAGGGGGATTTGGGGTGGGGGATTTGGGGTGCAGCCCCCTCCCCAAAAATCCCCCCAAAATCTCCCCCAGGGACCTCTCAGCGCTGGTGGTGACTCTGCACCGTGGGGAGGGGGATTTGGGGTGGGGGATTTGGGGTGCAGCCCCCTCCCCAAAAATCCCCCCAAAATCTCCCCCAGGGACCTCTCAGCGCTGGTGGTGACTCTGCACCGTGGGGAGGGGGATTTGGGGTGGGGGATTTGGGGTGCAGCCCCCTCCCCAAAAATCCCCCCAAAATCTCCCCCAGGGACCTCTCAGCGCTGGTGGTGACTCTGCACCGTGGGGAGGGGGATTTGGGGTGGGGGATTTGGGGTGCAGCCCCCTCCCCAAAAATCTCCTGTGGGGGTCTCTCGGCGCTGGTGGTGACCCAGGGCTGTGGGCAGGGGGATTTTGGGGAGGGGGATTTGGGGATTTTGGGGTTTTGGGGAGGGGGATTTGGGGATGTTGGGGGGGGG